ATTTGCTTTATCTGTTTACTTTAGAGAAGCCTTTTGTGAGGCCTAGTTTTCTTTATAGGCTAGAAACTCAGAGCTGTTAAGGCTGGTGATTGACTAGCTAGCAGAGCTTAAAGGTAACTTCCTTTGTGGAAATACTGTGCATGTCACCCAAAACAGCAATAAAACAGCTGCTTATTATTGTTAGAAGCTGGGAATGAGCTATTAAATAATAAGCATCTTCACCCTGGCCCAGAGTCCATTTGATACAACTAGTGGATATGTCTTGCAGAACCTAGATATATAGAGTAGTAACAATGTACAAAGCATGGTACATAATTCTTTCTGAAAATTAACTATATTAAGCCATTACAGCTACTGTTTTTTTCTCCTTCTGCACCACAGTGATTTTTCATATTGTCATGACTATTTTTTCTCTTCTTACACTTAGTGATTATACATAGACAGTTTCTGCTAATGGACCATTAAGTCCATCAGTCAGCCCTTGTCCTGCAGTTACACTGACAGCTTAGCAACTGCTGCTGTAGCCCATTTAGAAAATAGTGCCTGCAGTTTGGTATATAACATGACAAACTACATATAAGAGTTGACAAATATTGCTTTGGCACTTAACTTTTTCCCCCCCCCTCCCACCCATACCTCATCACATTGTGTGATCCTGTGAGCAATCTCCTTCAACTCTTTCATGGATTTTTCATCTTGGAAATCATAGGGGAAAGTTTCAGTCCATTCCTTCAGGAGCTGGATGATTTTGGCAGCAAAGGATTTTAACTTTGCCTAGAAAGAAACAATGAGTTGATTACTGACCATAGACCTTTATGACTGCAGATTAAATTAGTTGATGAAGGTTTGCATAAATCTAGAGACACTCTTGAAAATGTTTTGCATTAATAGCAGGTGAAGGAGATATAAAAAGAACACATTTAACTGTGAGCTAGATTCCTAAATAGTATCCCTTAGCCTCCTTTCATGATAGCGTTGTAATGTCTCCTGCCCAACACTTTGAAGGTTAGTTGTATAAAGTCAGGAAGGTTACAGAATATTTGAGTGACTTATTTAACTGAAGTCCATGGGACTTAAGATGATTTATGCCATCTGAGGCAGCAGCATCTTAGTGTTTGAATTCAAATTCATACGAACTGCAGCACTCTACCAAGAATCTGCCATGAGAAATGTTCACAAAGATATTTTTGTTCTATAGAATTTATTAGACCATCCAGATTGAGCTGTATATTAAATAAATGAATGACAGGAAAGACTTGTGTGTTCTCTCCACGACATCTAAATCAAAACAGACTTTGACAATAAAAAGTATTGGCTTTTGCTCAAAAAGCTATCAACCACAGAAAGGGCAGGGAGAACTATTTTTCTGAGTTCTTTTGTTACCTGTGAATCTTCTAAGGCTTTTCATCAGTTAGACCTGAATTGGATGCCAATTACTTCACTGCTGTAGCAATAGAGAGCAGCATCAATAAAGCCAAGGGAGCTCTCTTGTAAAACTGGGAGTGTGAGTGCTAAGAACGCATTTAATGAACAAGATGAATCAAAACTTAATTCAGGTAATATTTAACCTCCTACCCAACTTGTGATGCACTGAGGAAAAAGAGGAAGCTTTCATTTGTGTTTACCTCCTCACTTGTGTAAGCTCCAGAAGTCCCCCTAGACAGCAGGTCATTCTCCCCATGCACAGTGCACTTTCCCCATTGTGCTGCCCAGTAGCCTCTTAGGGGTGGCTTAGCATGTGGGTGTCACTACAGCAAATTTATGTATTTTCTTTCAAGACAAATAGAGAATATCTTCCAAACACTGGTATGAACTCTTGCCGAAACATCATCTGATCATAGGATGTTCCAGTTTATTTAATCAAAACCAAAAGTCAACTAAACTAAGCTGGTTTATTTTTTCCCATGTAACATCTCTCTGGCACATAATCAGTGAGAATATTAATAATGATTAATAAGAATGTTGAAGTTAAACCATGCACCCCCAAATCCTCGATCTGACAATAAGCCACTGCTTAGGCCATCTCCATATGAACACTTAGTTCATAAAGAATTTATGGGTTGTCTAGACTGACCCTAGCAGTTGAAGAGACTAAGTCAGTCACAGCTGATGCTTTTTTGTTTCTAGGTTATTTAACATTGCTCCTTGAAGACCAGGAGCCCAGTGAAGAGGTAGTGTTAGCTGTTATGATTTGAAGTAGGTGCAGCTGAACACCAGGTTATATTTTGTCAATTTTTTTAGGCACTGATATAGAAGAAAAAGGTTTGAAGGAGAGAAATGAGACAGCTTTGTGCCTCATTTGTGGTACTCAGCCAAATCATCCCAAATGATACTCCATGTACCACTTAAAACACATTGACTTATGAACATTGAGTTCCCATCTCTTGTATCTACTCATATGTTGTTAGGGTTTGCCTCCTTCATGATGGAAAACTAGACATCTGTTGCAAGACAAACTGCAAACCCTATTGCTCTTCAGGTCTAAAAAAAGCTTAAAGTTCTATCAGATGCTTTTAATGCTCATGAAAATAAAGTACACATTCTGAGAGGAACACTAAAAGACATCAGTATAGCAGAACATGGGATTTTTGTTTCATATGCACTCTGATGAAACCCAAAGCAGCGTGACAGGCTTGATACATGTGATAACCTAGATGGAAATCACACAGGTCTGTGGGTAGCAGCATGCAGTTTCCTTTCTATCATGGCTTCAATAAACCTACCCAACCTACTTTTTCTGTAGTCCTACTCCAGACATGAGCCTCCCCTTGTGAGGCCTGACAGAGTTCTCTGGAGTCCATGGGAATACTTCTCTCAGAAATATTTCTTTGAGAAGAAAAATACTTCTATTATTCTAAGTACTATGGATTGACCTTGTTATGCCTGAGACAAGACAGGACTGAGAAACAACTCCCAATCAGAAAGGAGGGCAATAGCAGTACTGTGTTTGTAGGAAAGGTTTAATGACAATGACCTGGTTATGAGTATTTCTTGGTTTTAAAAAGGAGCACTTACTGCCAACAAATACCAGGGGAAATAATAATTTTCGAAGGGACTTATGTATTCCAAGGCAGGCAAGACAATCTTAATAGAAATTAATTTCTTCTTTCTCTTTTTATTTCTAAATTCCTTAACTTCAGATATACAAAACATCCTCAAGTTTCAGAAACAATGCACCACAGTTTTAACAGTAATCAATAATACTATCCCAGTGCTTTTTTGTGACAATCTTGTTTGAGTCTTTCCAGTCTCTAATGCACTATGGACAGTTAAATTTTATCCTTTATGGTCAAGCTTCTCTACTGACTTGTATGTTGTAATTGATGTCTTAAACTGTGAAATCCTTCCTTTTTATGGGCAGTCAAAAAGACTGAGGTGGGCTCATAGTGGGTTTCTTCTTAATCCACTTTTCTCTAGGTTTTATTTCTGTAGGACTCTTTGGCTAGCCAGTAACGTAAAAAAGCCAACAGAATGATAGATATTGTGGTGTGTAACCTCAAAACCAGGCTTCCTGCCACATTTTCAGCTCACATACTATCCAGCGAACAAGTCAGTCAGCTTCTTGGCTTAAGAGATTTGCATAAGCAAATTCTATCAGAAACGATCAGAGATGCTTTAACTACTTTAGTCAGCTATTTCCTGCTATGCAGCCACTTAATTAGAAGGTGCTGCTAGCTGATGATACCTTAATGGATTGTGACAGTGAATACTTAAGAGTGCCTTGAATCAAGAGTTTCTATGCTGCCTGTGAAATGAGCTTTTATTTGTTCCCAGATAGAAAACAAACGTTTGCAACTGCTGGTGGCCAAACTATTCTGTAATATATACAGGTGATGGCAGTAGAGGGCAGTAAAGTAGTATAGGCAAGGGGTGATTGAGTGCGTTGAAATGAATGTCAGAAGTTTATGTAGTGTTTTCCAAGAATTTTGTCTTTAGAGTAGGCAGGGAAAAAATGCAGCTTATATTAAGGGGCTAGGAAGGGATCAAGGGCATGGTAGAAAGAGCAAGCGGAAAGGCATGTAAATTAAAGCTGCCTCCCAAAAATGTTTTATTGTCACCCTGCTGTTTGTTGGTTTTACTGTAGGCCCATTTCCAATCTGTCAACAGAAGGTGTAAGAGTGTGGGTGTCTGGAATATGAGCTGCTCTATTTTACATCCTGTTGTTAGGATGTAATGCTATTTTATTTCAATGAGGAAGCCATGATTTTATAACACATCTGCTGAGAAGTCAGACTATTACTACTTTGCAATTGGTATCATATCTTTACACTGCCAAGTGATATGGCAACCAGAGACTGTTTTCATCTGATATTCTCCTAAGTGCACTGTTAATCACAGAAGTTTCATCTTATATTCCATTAATTTTAAATCCAAGTACTTCATGAACGTATTTGGACACTTGCTACTCACAGCAGTCTTTCTCTTCATGTGTCTACAGCTCAGATTTAATTCATTCAGTGTTTCAGCTGGTCATGGCATCTCTTACAGGTTCTTACCTCTGTTGTTCAGTTACATGTTGCTGAGGAACCATTACAATTTACAGAGCATCTGTTTTAGGTTGTTCAGTCATGAATTAGTTTGGCAGAGGCAGTGGGAACAGTTATCACCTCTGTGTATAAAACAGGATGCACTGGTGTGGTTCTTGCAGATTCCTTCCCTGACCCCTTGATTTCTCTAGCACCTACATGACAAGTTACATAGCTATTTGAAGAGTAGATCAGGGGACTGACCTGGATGACAGTCATTTTGCACCATGGTTACCTTGTCCTGTGACCTAAAAAAAAATTAGACTGCACACCAGGAATAGTATGTGAGTAAGAAGTCCTTAGGTCAAGTGTTGCTGTCAAAAACTTTGTGTTGACAAAGCACAGAGTTACCTTTTGTGCTCCTCACTCAGAGTGCTGATACACCATGGAGAAAATGAAATGGGACTATCAATGTGTTGAAGATTAGGAATGTGAGCATGTAATTTCTCACAAGAGAACAATGGAACCAAAACATGCCCAGGATTTGAACAATCTAGGTCTTTAAATACTTGCTAATCCTATCCTGGTTTTGTCATTCTTTTTTACATCCCAGTTTAGTCTACTCTGGAATTTCACCTTCAGTCAAAAGTCCTTCAATATATACTTTGCAAATGGTGACACTTTAGCTGCATTTAAGTGCCAGTGTGGTTTAATCAATTCTAGTAAAGCATGTCAGCACAGGCTACCGTTTTAAATAGTGCATCCCTTAATTTTTATGAGGTGTAACTTTCTTATTTACTGTTACAAAAACTTAAACTACCCCAACAATAACCGACAGCAGAGCACTTAACTCCAATAGGATGGTACGGGTGACTGGAGAAAGCGAAATGAGATTCACCCCAACAATAACCTACAGAAGAGCACTTAACTCCAATAGGATAGTGTGGGTGACTGGAGAAAGCGAAATGAGATTCAAGAAAAACCTAACTTGGTGAAAGTTCAAAAGTGCAAAGCAACTTGCTGGGCAGGTTTCACAGCAGATACACGTTGCTCCAGTGCACAGCACAACTCATGTGTAAATTTGGTTTGGCAGCCACAGTATCCAACTAGTAAGGTAGTACATAACCTATGCCTGTGGCCAGCAAAAGAAGTAAAGGTACTTCAAGAAAAAAGACTCAAATAAAAGTGCATCCAGCAAAAAATGTCAATTGCAATTTCCATTTACTGTTTATCAGTCTATTTAGCTTTACAATAAGAAGGAGAGGGGGGGAAATAAATGCCAGTAGCACAACTAACTGAAGGACATATTGTTTCATTTACCTTTTCTGCCTCAGTCCCCGTTTCCAGCTGCTGCTTCTGTTTAATGCAGATTTGCCCCACTTTAGCCAGGAGCTCATGTGGGTGAATGAAGACACGTGAGCTCAATAGGAAAGTGAAGATGTAAGTTCTCTGTGGAAGGAGAGAGAAAAAACATCCAAACAAAACAAGTTGAGAAACTTTAGCAAAAAAAAATAAAATACCTGTCTTTCTTGGAAATACTATTCCATAAAATCCAAATGTAACTTTCCTTCATTTAAAACTTTTAGAATTCTTCCTGTCTCCAGAGAAATGGTGGCCTTTTCTAGCTCTGTTAAAAGGAAATGCCATAGGCTTCAAGGCTGTTAACTGTGGGGTTTTCCGGTGACCAAATTATTTCCCTTTACAATGCCAAATTTAATATGCCTAATTAGACATCACTTACCAAAACCACAAACGAAATATGTCTAATGTAGGGTGTCACCCCTCTCAAACACCACTATTTATGCTGCTTTGTTTCTTTAAAAGTGATTGTTTTTCACTGAGCTGCAGAAAACTGCTTCATGTGTATTCCAAACCACAGCTGTAATTTCTTCATGTATGGGAGTATTTTTTTCCTTTTTCCCACCACCATTGACACAAGTTGTAGCTTAGATTGTGGCCAAATGACAATAATTTAGTTTTAAGCTTGACTTTACTTATTTGGGGTTTGTTTCAGAGTCTTTTGATATGAACACTACTAATAAATACCAACAATTACTATTTCTCATTGGAAACAGCCCCTCCATTTCTATTTCAAAAGCTGTAATGCATTGTATTTTCATTGTATCATACTCTGGACATGTATCCAGTCTATCATATTCTGGATAGATCAATCGAAGTGAGAACAGTTTTGTGTCCTAGCCTTGTTTCAGTGTTGGGAACCTGGCTTCTGGATTTGAATGCAATTGCCTGAGTAGTGATGGTGGCATCTCTTAACTACTTTCATTTTTGTATTTGCAACATGTCCTGTTACTTTGACTGTGTTGTCAGAAACATGATTTGGCAGCCACAGCCAAGGGCATTTAGTCAATGTGTGCATATACCACCTCGGACAGGGCAAGTAAATTGGGACAGCTAAAAACTTTAGACTGGTTGTCTAAAATGTGGCGTCTCTACTATTACCTACCAAAGCTGCTGCTTGCAGTCTCTAAAACACACTTGTAGTTAAATAAGAATGGTATCTTTAGGACTCCAAATAGGTTATGGGGTTTATCTCTCTAATCACAATACAGTGTGCTATTAATGGAAAATGTTTTCACTTCTCTAGTACTTAGTGTGCCCTATAATATGAATTCAGCGCTAAACACTTCCCAGTATCAGAAAGGGAAAAAGGATTTCTTGTTTTTTTTAAACAAAATAAATTAACTAAAAGTCACAGTGTTCTGGGAGCAAGTGACAAGTATGATAGATAAAGCATACAACATTAAACATACCACTCTGCCCTGAGCTCCAGGAGGAAGCTAATGAAAGGACAGAGTAGAGTGTGATACAGCAGAGGCATTTAAATGGTCATTTTGATTTTTAAGATCTTATTAGCACTGAGGTTCATGTACTAAATTAGGAAGAGCATTAATTTTGTATGATCAAAACCAGAGTTCATCTGTAGTCTTTGCCTTGCCTATTGTTTATGAATAGAGGAAAACAGGAGGAGAACGGTTAACCGGATGGACAGTTTGGGTCAGGTTCTTGAGTGCTTCCACTGATGCCTACAGAACATGGACAGCTGGGGCCATCTAACACTTGGGCTCTTGGTGACTTTGAGCAAGTGGCCAGAGCAGTGCTGGGACACTGATAGCATGGCCTCCCTTCTTAATGACATGGTTGCAAACATCCCACACAAGTGTACGTTAGGAAATTTAACAAATAAGGCTTCTGTTTGGTATTTTATGACTCTCCAGAATTTCAGAGTTTATTTTTACATTTGCAATGACAAAAACTTGAAGTTCATCAATTCTAAAAAGAAATTTAATGTAGCTCTGAGGCCTGTATCTGGAGACAGTTAACGACACTGTGCTGCCTTTGGAGAACTTTATAAAAATCCATGGTAGTCTATGCAGTGTGTTAGGGGTGCTAAAATTAGGCTGAGGAGCTAACGTAATTGACACGGCTGTGCTATGGCACAACATACCAGATCTTTTATTCGTATGTGTGTGAGAATGATTCCTAAACTGATACCTTTAGAATGAAAGCAAGAGAAAGAATAGTTGTGAGATTTGGGGTAGGATATGTGAAGAGTCTGTGTGTGTTTGCATCTTAAACCATGCCTACATATAATCATAGAATCAACTGCGTCAGAAAAGACCTCAAAGATCATTGAGTCCAACCCTGATTGACCTCTGTTAATTTTTGTAGCTAACTCATGTGTTCATTGCTATTATTGTTGTCCCTGAAATTAAAACTGTGAGTCTGGACTACGTGGGACAGGAATTTAGCTGTTGGGTGTGTCAGCTGTCACTGGATTGTGTAAAGGTTTTTGCACTGAAAACATGAAGCAACCCTCATTTTCACTGTATTTTGCACTTGAGAGGTGAAGGGGGGGGGGGGGGATGATGCTTTCCTCCTTTCCCTGTGTTGTGTTCTTGTTTTGGGAGTTCAGAGGCCTGACTGAAAGATGCCTGTATGTGTAAGCAGCAGGGAACCACAACATAAGCCACACTGCCCTGGCAGTGACCTTGGCTGTGATAAGCTGGAAGGCATTCTTTTAAGGAAAGATATAATTTTGCTTCTCATACTAATCCTAGCGTTGGTCATTGTGGTGGAAGTTTGTACGATGTGGGACAGTGTTTATCCAGAATGACTCTGAGAGAAGCCCACTCACAGTATCATTTCCCTATTGTTAGGGAAAGTAAAGCATGACACAGATGACCTGTGTTTTTGTTTGGTTTCTTTGATAATGTTTTATATGATGCTCATAGAAGTGTCGAACTAGCAAGATGCAGGAAGACACAGGCCATGAAAGTAGGTACTTCACATTTTAGGCTTGCTGACATCTCTCTGTAATCAGTAATTCAGTAATAGCTGTACTGGACCCATGCAATGATTCTTCAGACAGCACTGGACTTCTAGGGTTTAGAAACAAATGCCTTCTGGAACACATCTGCTGTACCTCTATTTGATTTTTAAGTCACTTAACTGGAAATAGGAAAACAGAATTGTTCCATTATAGTCAATCAAGATATGTTGATTTACACTATTGGTATCTAACTGAAGGGGTTTTTTTATACTTTTATTGCTTATTCTAGCATAGACAAGGACTGCTTGCAATTAAGAACCGAATTACAAATGGCAGGACTGGCAGCAGTGTTGCCCCCCCATCTTCTTGCCTCTCTGCTTATAGCCACACCTTATCCAATAAAGACAATTCAGACTGAACTAAGCCATACATTTCAGCTTCATGGTAGGTCTCAGGGGGCAGCAACACAGTTGTTTTGGATAGTAAATGTTTCATAATCACATAATATGCCTTATCTAGATCAAGGATTTGTGTGATTTGTTGCATCTGTACTACTATACACATATAGGCTAAATGTTATAACAGTGTAAAAACCTACACTTTGTCATAGGCAGTCCCCAAAACATGAAGATGATGGTTTGGAGAAGGAAATTTAACTATAAAACTAGCTGGTTTGACACAGAATGATTAGAAAACACTTCCATAAGCTATAAGATTGAAAATTAAGCTCCATTTATTCTACAAAAGTGACAGGTATCTGGGAGGAGAGGCAAAAAAAAATAAAAATCCTTTCTGCACTTGGAACAATGTAAGCTGACACAAAAGGGGCTTGTGCTTTACAAGAGAATAAGAAGCCAGATTCCTTTAGTGCCTAAAGTTGTTGCTAAGAGATGAGCTGAATTATATTAAAAAAAAAAAAGAGTGTGAGCGCACAAGACTAAAGAAGGAATTGTTACTCTCCAAACCAAAAATGCACTTATGACTTTTTGATGAGGGGAAAAAAATTTTTTTTCTTGGTGCATTCACTGCTCATTCTGGAACTTCTTGTTTGTGAAATATTTTCTTGAAAGTTTTTTTGCTTGGGCACAAGGGTTGCAGACTGGTACATTCCATTCCTAACCTCCCGAACTCCTCTGTCTCATGATTATACATTTTTCTATGTGCTGAACGAGTCCCTGTACACAAAGAAGACTCAAAAGAGCAGTACACAAATGTAGGCACTTATCTTTCCTGCCTCCCTTGCCTGTCTCGTGTCCTGCCAACATGGCCAATACGTTTTTGTTTTGCCTCTGGAATCAGCACAGAAAGATACTTTGTGTTTGCTTTCTCCCCCACTCCCTTTTTCTTCTGTCCAGAAGGTCACTGTGATCATTTAGCTTATGAGCACACA